TGTTTATTCTTTACGGGGTTATAGTCGACCTTTATAATAAGAGAAGTAGTATAAGAACCTATAGCCGCGTCTCGTATACGCTTTATATACGAGATTTATAAAAGTTACATACTAGTTACGTAACTCTCGCTTAGCTATATATAAAAGCCCTTCGGCCTACGGGCGAAGGCCGAATTTCTTAAGAATTCGTCTATTAATTATAAGCCCTCTTTTTATACCTATCTTAAGCTTTTTATTCGTGCCTTATATCTTATAGATTTAGATTTAAAATAATAGCCGCTATAGCGTATATCGTCTAGTAGAAAGATTATACGCGCTTATCTCTATTTTCTTTATTTAATACTTTAGTAGGCGCTATATCCGGAATTAATAAAAGAAATATACTAAGAGATATAATTATTATATATAGTATATATAGAGAGCTAAAGACCTTAAGATCTACGAGATTTATAATAATTATACTTAGAATAAATCTAGAAAGAATAAAGATAAGTACGTAAATAAAAGATTATTTTTACTACTTTCTATTTTAGCTAGATACCGTATTAGTTAGATAATATTAGTAGTTATATAATTATATTTAAGCTAATAATAATTTTCGGACTTAAAGAATACTATTATCTAACTAATATTAGTAGAAAGAATTTACTTTAAATTTACTTATAGAATAATCTATCTAGCGATAGTAACTTTCGAAGTAATTTCTTTTAAAAAGTTTTTTTAATATATCTCGATACGAGAAAGAATAGTCGAGGAGGAAAATATTATAGATAGTATAGATTATATAATAGATTAGCGCTTAAAAAGGCTATTCTAAGATTATAAATAACGAAAATTTCGTCTTTTCTTAGCCGAGCGTTTTACTTTAAAATAGTCTATAAAGTTCTAGATAGTATAGCTTTAAAGTACTCGTTTCTTTATTATAATATTTTCTACTAAAAGATTAGTATCTTATACGCCTAGCTTTTATCGAATTTAAGACGCTTTAAATTAGATAAGTACGTTTTACTAAAATTAGAAGCGATTATTTAATAAGATATTTATTTTCGGGGTAATTAGTATAATAATTATAATATCTATTAATAATCTAAGAGTAGTAGTAATAGTATTATATTAAGAAAGAACGATATAGCTTAAACTATTCTAGGTAAGAAACTCGGGATTTAATATACTAAAAAAAGGAATCTATACGTAGAAGCGGAGATATATTAAAAGAAGAATAGCTATAAAATAATAAGGTTGGATAAGTCGAAATTATTTATATATTTATGGCCGGATTTGCTGGTCGACCGGAAGTCTTATAAACTATATATACCGGTGAGATATACAGTGAAGCTTTTTTTTTTTTATGCGGATAGCGCGGGCACAACGCTTTCATTATGGATCTTTATAACCAAACTCGTTGTTTCACAGACATCAGAGTAGAAGACGAGAAAAAAACTATATCTCAATCCTCTTTATGTTTAACCAACTGTACTCTTTGTGGACGTGATTGCCGAGGGTCACAATCCTTAGGTTTCGAATTCTCAACACAACGAGCCTCAAGGCTTGGTTCCTCAGGACTCGACTCCTCAAGCTATGGTTCGTCCTGACTTAATTCCTCAACACGCGGTTTCGCAGATACCAGTTTGTCGTAGGTCAACCCTAAGTGTAAGCGACGTTACCCAATCGCACCACACTGCAGACTGACAAGCATGGCTCTAACGAGAGTAGCAATGAAATGCATAATGCACACATGAGAAACAGTGTAGTGCTTTGATCAAGGCCTTGAAATTTTCATTGGGAACAATAAGTTGGTGTACACCAGGTCTGGATCACCATGGCTAAGATACGATGCTAATCAAACAGACCATGCCTACTACAAGCATTGACCTATCACGGTTTGGGACCATTTCATACCAAAATAGCCGGAATTAAAGCTTGGAAACACCTCTCAGTTCATAGTTTCGGTGGAAAGATCCTAGTCCTCATCCGAGCCTATATCCTCTCGACGACCTTGTTCATCATCTGAGTGATGGTACTGTTCGTGATGAGCCTGTTCTAAGCCATGGTCCTCATCGGTCTCTTGATCACTGGTGGCCTGAGAAGCATCGTCAATTGGACTTGGTGGCCTGGCCAGAGTTGCGAGTTCCCTCTTCAGTCCCTCCAACACAGTTCCAAGTCGTGCTTTTAGGTCTGGCATCCTTGCTTGCGCCATCTGCGTTTCCAGTTCAGCTATCTTCGCTGTCATTTCCTGGATGGCAGCTTGCGTGCCGTCGTCCTCGACAACGCTATCCTGGCGGGCACCTTCGAGTGGTTCTTCGTAGATCAAACCGGATCCAAAGAAGCTGGCAAATTGCCTCGCCATGCGCTCATCCTTGATAGCAAACACGACCTCTAGCCCGTCCCAACCTTCTCCGCGATTCCAGTTGATGCTGCCGGTCCTGGCCTTTTTCTTATTCTCTGTACCAAAGAGGACTTTCTTCCACGCTTGGGCAACTTCACCAACTGGGTTGCCGTACGCTCCGCAACCCCAAGCACCGAGCACTACCTTATCCGCTCCCTTCATCCTGAGAATTCGCATGACTGCCTTCATCTTTTGCACCACGAGGTCTCTTTCTTTGCAATTGGCGTACTTCTTCTCTTCACCCTCCTCACCCTCGACGTCTGGGAACCTCAGCATTCCGGCCGAGACCACATCGACGAAAAAGCGCTCCTTCTTGTCTAATTCCGCTGCCTCATCATCCGATCTCCGAAATACCAGCACATCCGGCGTGTATATGGCGCCGACTTCCGGCAGGCGGTAAAATTCGTCGCGAAGTGAAGGGTAGAGAGTAGTGCGTAGGCAAAGCCACTCTTCTTGCGAGGTGGCTCCGTTCAGCAAACCGCCGCCGGGACGCAGAGGTGAGGCCATGTTGAGGACCGCCACCCTCGGCCGCTTGCTGGTCTCGGTCGAGCCCAGTCGCACGGCAGCCTCTAGCGTGTCGGTAACCTGCAGTTTGAGCTGCATCGGCGGCCTCTCTGGCGGTTGTGTCGCAGTGACCTTGTCTGTCCCACCCCTCGCTTCGGCAGTGTCATCGTTGTCCTCATCGCGACCCCGGGCCTTGCCCTTGCCCTTCGGTTTGGATTTGGACTTCGATTTCGCGTCAGGCTTGGGAGCGTCTAGATGAGAAGGGCCCGTGAGTGGGGGTGGATCGACGATAAGCTCTGCGGCATCAACGCCGCGTCGGGCGCGAGGATAGGTGTTCAGAAGGGCGGGAATGGTTTGGTTGATGGTCGCCTTAGCCTTCTTCGCACGGACATCGCGGCGGAAGGACTGCGGAGGGACGACAACGGTGGGCTCAGTGCGGCCCATGATGGTTGAGTACAAGCGCGTCTCAGTAGTGGAAGGTCGAGGAGGGTTGATGGGGAGACAGTTGCTGAAGTAGTGCGCCCTCGAGGAAACAGGGTACTCAAGTGGCGCTCACGAGCACCTTGGTGGACGAGGATGCTGTCATGGCGCCGGCGACGGGGATGCAGGCACCAGTGACGATGAAATTACTCATCACGCAGGGGGAGAGAGATGGAGTCGCCCAGGGCCAAGTGACGGGTGGAGGCAGTTCTCGAGCGGCAGAGAGAGGAGATAAATGCCAGAGGAGCCCCAGAACGCGGAATATGCTCCGCGGCTTCTCATTGTGGCATCGTTATTGGCAGCGTCAACCGGCGGGCGACACCGCCAGAAGGGGCAACGTTTAATTTGCAAGCGGCCAGGAACGCGTATCTCACGGCCGGGGCAGGCAGGCACACGGCGGGGACAAGGCAAGAAGCTCCGCACCCGGCCTAGAACGGGCTGCTCTGGCTGCTCTGGCTGCTCTGCCCAACGTCGTCCGCTCAACAACCTCACGCCTCTCCAGCAGCCCGTCGCTGTGCCGTCCTGCGCAGCCGCCGCCGTCCTCGTCTTCAACCAACGCCGTGCCGACCTGTGCCATGACGACGCCGCCCGGGATGCGGTATGCAGGGCTGGGCAATCGCCTACCACGAACCACGGGCGCGGGCCCTCTATGATGCTGAAATCCATGTGCCTGGCCTGAAGCAGACGCGGGGGAGCGGCGGCGGGGGCCCAGAGCGCGCAACCCCGGACGCCGCGGCGGCCAACCCGCTCCCGCAGCTCACCGGCGCGAGCCCTGCGTGCTCGCAGCCCGGGTGCTTTGTGCGTGTCTCAGGGCGCGGAGGGCGCTACTGCAGCATGACGGACGGCGCGGCTCTCGAGGGGGCGGGCATCGACCGATTCAGCGCGCGCTGGGCTTGCAGCGGCGCCGCTTCTGTCGCCGGCTGTGTCTGGCTGGGTGCCGCACGCGTCTTCCCGCGCTCGATACCGTTTTTCAGGCTGCCGGCTGACGTCAAGCGTTGGGGAGCTGTCACGACGACGTTCGGGGCGAAATGTCGAAGTCCGATCTTGAATAAATGATCAGCGTCAGGCACCGCCCAAAAGGCGGCACTCGAGCAGCAAAGGACGACAACCACCGACATGCGCCGCTCGTAACCTGCCCTCCCCGACACGGCTCCCGCAGAGCTGTACCGCCTGAATGACCGGCGCCGCCCGCACCCACGAGCTCCGCAAGTGCGTCCCCCGTGCCCGCCGCCTCCCTCGCGCTCGTCGCTCGTGTTCTCTCGCCAACCCGCGCTGACAGCCCGCACGCAGATATTCGGAAAACGGACAGCTCCCGCTCGCCAACGCCGCATGTGAGCACCCGCTGGGCTGGCATCCCGCCCTCCAACTCCAGTCGCCGCTATGCGCCGCCCTGGCGGCCTTCACCGAGCTTGTCGTTGCGCGCCTTGGTACGCTGTCTCCGCTCCGCAAACTTTGGCGCCCGCCTGACCGCCACTGCAGGAGTCTTCGCCGCCTTCGCGAGCCTGACCGATGGCCGCACCCAGCGCGTGCTGGCCGGGACCTGGGGACAGACAGACGGACACACCCGGGACGACGCGCCTCTGAGATGGCTGCAGACCTGTGAGGCCGACCAGCACGTCTGGCTGTCGCTGGCCCGCCGCGCCCTCGGCCTCGACGCCCACCCATGCGACCGCGCGTTTCCGGGTGGCGGCATCGCCGTCCAGCTCGACGAGGACCCCAGCGCAGCCAATCTCAGCTGCGTCGTGCGCCCGCCGCACCTCAGGTACTACGCCGCCGCCCCGGTCCGCTCCCGCCGTGGAATCTGCATCGGCACCATCTTCGTCCTCGCCCGCGAGCCCCGCTTCGATTCCTTCGACGCCGATCTGGCCCTCCTGTCCTCCATTGCCGCAAAGTGCATGACCCAACTCGAAACGGCCCGGGAAAGCCATCTGAAGAGCCGCATCACGAGGATCAATGATGGCGTGTGCTCCTTCATCCACTCTAGAGATGCCGGCCCCGACGAGCCCTCAACCGCCGCCCCGCCGGCCTGCAATGCCGCCCCCGCCACCGCAGAACAAACATCCAATGCTCCCTCGACACAATCGCTGCCGGCTGCTTCCCAGGATCCTCTGGCCAATGACACCAAACCGTCGCAGCCCGACGCCGGCGATGGCTCCACTCCCGGTACTGGGAGGACAACCTACAAAGAAGCATTCGCTCGGGCAGCGGCGCACTTGAGGTTTGCACTCGACGTCGATGGTGTCCTGTTCGTTGACGGTTTGATTGGCTTCAATGGGGCTCTGACGCCATTGGCAAAGCGTGAGCAGGAACTTGAAGACGAAATGAATCACAAGGCCGGACGGAAGGATCCGTCCAAGGAGGATCCACAGTGGACACCAACCCCGGAGAACTCGGGAGTCGATTCGCCAGACGACGCACAACCTCCGGATGACGGTTCCGGTCCCGCGGAGAGAACCTTCACCAGTGCGGACTTCCAAAAATCCACCCTTGTAAGGCGGCCGGGCGAGATCCTTGCCATCTCTGTGCCCAACCCCCAGGCAAGACCACGATTAAGGAACCTTTCCCTCAGCCCTTCTGACAAGGACTGCCTCGACGAACGTTTCTTACGAAAGTTCCTTGCAAGGTATCCCTCTGGTAAGGTCTGGTATTTCGATGAGGATGGCGCTCCCTATACGTTTTCTGATGCGGAGACTCTTGTGCCTGATGATCCGCGTGGTGAGGCGAACCAATTTGCTGCTGCTTTCCGAGGCATTCGACAACTCATTTTTGCGCCTTTGACGGATCCGGTGACGCTCAAGCGCTTGGCTGGATGTTATGCGTGGACAACTCGAGTCCATCCTGTCTTTACCCCGACTGCAGATCTCGGCGCCTTCAAGGGCTTTCTGCACTCTGTTGAAGCTGAGGTGTCCAGGATTGATACCGTAGCAGCAATCAAACAGCAAGAGTCGTTCGTTTCGTCCGTCAGTCACGAATTACGTACACCTCTGCATGGCATACTCGGCGCTGTTGAATTTCTTGGAGAGACAAAGCTGGATAGCTTCCAGCAAGGCTTGGCTGAAAGCATTCGTTCGTGCGGTTCGACATTACATGACACTCTCAGCAGTGTCCTCTCGTACTCCAAGATTAATCAATTTGAGCGAAGACGGCACAAATCCAAACACAAGATCTCTGAAGAGATCAAAGATGCCGTCGAGGAGCCAGATCATGACCTGCACGGTCTGCTCACTTCTGCCAACATTGCTACTCTCTGCGAGGAAGTTGTTGAGGTCACTGCTGGTGGTCACAGTTTCAACAAGCCGACTTCAACGGATGATCTTACGATCACCATAGATGTCAAATTCCAAGATAACTGGAATTTCTTGACAGAGCCTGGTGCCCTCCGGCGTATCATGACCAACATTCTTGGCAACGCGCTGAAGTATACGGAGAAGGGGTTTGTCAAAGTCGGCCTGGACAGTGAGGACATGAGCAGCGAGCCGGCTGCTTCGAGCAAGCCGGGCCCCAAGCTCAAACTCATCAAGTTTTCCGTGGCCGACTCGGGCAAGGGCATGTCCAAAGAGTTCCTTGAGAAGCACTTGAGCGTGCCTTTCACCCAAGAGGATACAATGGCATCCCAGGGAGTGGGTCTAGGCATGTCAATTGTCAAGAGTCTTGTTGCGATGCTCGGCGGGAACATAAGGGTTCAGAGTCAGCTGGGAAAGGGCAGTACTTTCACTGTCAGTATTCCTATGGCTGCGGGGGATCCGAAGATTCCGTCTCCCGCGACTGTCGCTCTCGAGAAAGCGGTGCCCGAATTACGTCAAAGAAACCTCAACATTGCCATTCGCGGCTTCCCCCACACCCTCCAAGAATCTTTCGAAGATTACCTACGCAATTGGTTCAACTGTAATATTCTCGCGCCCGAAGACAACGCTCAGCCCGACGTCCTTGTCGTGGATCAGGCCGCCCGGACTTTGTCCCAGGACATCCGCTCCCGGTATCAACCCAACAGCCTTGCGCTACTTAATGTCTCAATCTCTCCCTCTTTACGCCGGCGTTCGGATAGCCTCGACTGGGGTTTCCGATGTCGGCAGACAATATCACGCCCCATCGGCCCTCACAAGCTTTCCAAAGCACTTCTCGCATGTGCGGACAGCTTGGCGGAGGAACTCTCTAGCCCCGAGCTACCACGTCCGGTTACTCAGCGACTTGACACCAACCCGTCCAATGTCTCCCACATGGATGTCGACACCACTGTCTCTCCGCGGAGTAAAGCTTTGGCTCGCGCCGCGGACCCCATCCAGTCCCTTGAAGACCTTCCTTCGCCGACTAAACGACCACGCCACTATCCCCCCGATGGATCTTCGCCGCCAGATCATCCGACCTACCCATTCAGGGCGCCCTCCCCATACTCACACCATCCGCATGACTCACATCAGTCGCCAATCTCCCCGACAGCTCCTGCTGCTGCCTTAGCGCTTGAGCGATCCCTACTATCGCTCGGCTCCCCGGTCCAACCTGAAAGAACGCCCCGCCTTCTGCTCGTCGAAGACAACGCCGTCAACCTCAAGCTCCTTCAGACGTTCATGCTCAAAAAAGGCATTACGGATGCTGCGACCGCAGAGAATGGGAAGGTCGCGGTAGATCAAGTAGCAAGAATGACAGAAGCGGGTAGTGGATTCGACATCATCTTTATGGGTAATTTTCCTACCTGGAATCCCAAAACTCTTATTAGTGCCACATGACTAACAACACGAACAGACATCTCTATGCCCATAATGGACGGTTTCGAAGCCACTCGCGCCATCCGTGCCCTTGAACGTCGCCGACGCCTGGCTGGCTCCGCTCCGCCGCCCACAGCGCCATCTCAGCCGCCTCCTCAGCTGTCACATAGCGTCTCCACGCCCTCGGAATCTGAATCAAATACACCGTACACGACACCTTCGGCCGGTCAGGATGCACATCAGCAACGACGACGACGACTCTCCCAGGCCTTCGTCGTCGCTCTCACAGGTCTGGCTTCGACAAAAGACGAAGACAAGGCATACAACTGCGGCGTCGACCTCGTCATCACGAAGCCGGTCAAGTTCGGGAAATTGACGGAGCTTTTCGAGAAATGGGAGAAAGGAGAGCTGAAGGGCGGTGGCGGAGGGGGCGTCGTGGACGATTTGGTAGAGGAGGAGAGCGAAGGGAGGATGGGAGTCGAATGAGAAATACGTTTTGTCGTAGGGTTTTCACAGCTCACACTGGCGGTCAGAGTTGGTTTTTCTCTTGGTGTATGTGTGCGTGTGTGTGTGCGTGTGTCTGTTCCGAGTAGAAAGACCGTGTTCGATTCGCACGTTTAAAGAGGTGTATATTGTTTTTTTGTTACAACTATGGGAAAGCATTTCTTCGGGGTGGAGTGCGGTGGGCAGGGGGAAGAGGGAGGGAGGCAAGGGAGGGGTTGGAGGGGTGGGAGGTGAAACAAACGGACTATTATCTTTCCTCTTTCCTTCCTTTCTTTTCTTTTTCTTTTGTGAGGAATGGAAAGGCTATCGGAGATCACACTCAAGTATGAGATTACGACAAACACACTACACACAACAACAACACAACATCACGTCACAAACACACCACCTCTCGCGACCCAACACAGTCCAATCCAGTCCGATACACGCTGGACAGCAAAATGCACGGACGCCTGCACATGACAACCAACGGCGGATTCCCTCACGATGCGAGGATGAACAATGGCGGCGAACCTTCATGTGGATAGGGTGCCCAGGAGCCGACATTTACTTCGAGGCTGAGGTATCAAGAGTCAAGGAGCGGTACGTGGTTAACTGGATTAGGATTTGTTGATAGGATGTGCGGGCGGATGAGATTGATAACATTAGCGACGAGCGGCATCTTTGTTCAACTAGGCAATCAACCAAAAAAGCGACGACCATAGCGGGGCGGCTAGCGTTCTTGTGTTCGTGAGTTTTGAAAAAAAAAAGTTGTAGAGACGTTTATGTGCTTAAGCGATTTTCTTGTTTATCTTGTCTGTGTTGCTTGTCTGGTTGGGCTGGTGGTACTGCGGTTTTTTTTTCTGTGTTCGTATTGCTGTTTAGCGTCAGCTGTTGTGGTGAGGTTTAATGTTTTAATTATATTTGGAGGGTGAGGTGTGTGGTTGGGTTGTATCAATGATGGTAATGGTGATGGTTTTTATGTATTAGCAATGTGCAGAGATGTGGGCTGGCGTAGTGCGTTGCAAATAAACTGACATGGTGATATTCGACCTATTGCTGATTTTATGGGTAGAGTGCTTGCATGCGAAGGCTTGGTCAAACTCTATGGAGTAATCACATCCACTGCTGGAGCCGAGATAGGGAGAGACTATCAAATTGAGGGTCCATACATGTTACTTTACGAACCTGGACAGAAGAAAACTAAAGAGACTCAAAGAAAAAAAAACCGAGATAAAAGTCCGCGATGTCGTTACTTTAATAAGAAATTTGTTTTGTTCTTTACGAATTTCTTTTTCTGAACTGTTTCGTCATTCAGTTGTAAAAGCACCGTAACACCAATATTGAAACAGCAAAGGAAACAAGACCATTGCTTTCCCTCCTAAACATTTGCACGGCAAACGAAGCAGGACAAAGCTATGGCATGACAAAGAAAGGTTCTCAATTAGCCAAGAGCGTCATCACCTGTGGGCGGAATACCAGTGCACACTCAAGCTGTGGGACGGACGTCATCGAATACGGGATGGGAATGAAACTCTGGCCAGAGATGCAGGATGTGTCTCCTGAACGGGTAGATTTCATCGGAGGGCTTGAAAATCCCCACATGATCGGTGGGAGCAGATTGGTATTCCTTTTTCTCGTAGGGGCAGCTGGGACATGAGTAGGCAAACCAACCATATGGTAAATGGTCCCAAACACGCGGATAGGTCTTATCGTAAGGTTTGAGGATTGATCGAACAGCGTTGACGTGCATCCTCCCATGCTCGGTGAGGATATGCTCGGACTCGATGTGTTGTTGAATGGCAGCAATGTCCGTCGATGAATAGTCGCAGATGGGGCAAATAGCTTCGCCATGCACCCCGTAACCCCGACCTCGAAGATCGGATGCTTGTGAGATTCGATCAGCTTCATCGTGAGACATGAGGTGTCCCTTCGGGCCTGCAATCTGCTCGATGCTCAACCAGCGCTTCTGTCGGCAATTCCGCATGGGGCATTTCCGGTCTCGTTCCCCATAGCTCTTCAGTAGCTTGATAGTCTGGGCGTCGTCATTGTCATGGCAAGAAACATGGACCCTGAGAAGGTCCAGTGGAAAAGTCTCAGCAAGAGCTCGACAGCCTGGCACAGGACAAGCTGCTTGATCCTCATCGGAATGGACAGCCTTCAAATGCGCTTTGAGCTTGTCCTCTCTGTAGAAAGCATAGCGACCGCGACGATTGCAAGAGAACACGGGGCAATCGAATGTCTGCGTCGGCGTGTGAATCCCCATGTGACGCTGGAGCTCATACTTGCGCTTGAAGAGACGCTTGACTTTGCAGTTGGGAAATCTGCATGTGTAGCCTCCGCCATTCTCATGCACGTAGCTGTGAATGTGTTGAGCATGCAATACAAAGCGAGAATCGGAATCCAACTTACCCATCGCGGGCCCGGCCATCTTCGATGACTTTGGGTCCAATCACAGACAGCTCCTCTGATTCTTTCGCAGCGGATCCCGTAGTGTCAAGGTGTATTGGGTTATCGTGGTCGACATGCTTCTTCCATGAGGACAGAAGCGCCCCGTTGGACGGAATATTGCTCGATTCTGGAAGTGAATCGTGCAAAGCCGCTGAGAATTGTGGAATCACCGCTGGAGAATCTTGGTGCTTAGTTTCTAGCCAAGCATCGTGATCCGCTTGTTGCTTTCCAAGTAATGATAGCGAAGTGGAAGTATTCGGATCCATCATGTAGTATGGATGCACAACCGGTGGCGGAACAGCTATCAATCCCGATTGGGATTCTTCATGCCAGCAACGTGTGGGGTGCTGCAGGGATCTTTGCCCCATGGTCAGCTGCTTGGAAAAAAAAAAATCTTACTCGTCAGCCTCGGAACTATTGACGTCTCCCGAGCCGCAGTCAGCAGGCAGCAGCGAGCTGTCATCCGGAGCGTCGCCCTGCGGGAACATGCTGTCCACCTCTTGCAGGAAATTCTGAAAGAATTGCGGGTCGTTGAAGTCATCGTCCATTCTAGTTCGTCGAGCGCGGCTACAGTGTAACGCTGACAGTGACGTGGTGTGTCTGGAAGGGCGAGGCTGAATTCCCGAGAATGATGGTGATTGGTTGAAGTGGGACGGGGGTCGAACGATGAGATGGGCGGAACGCTTGAAATTGGGGGTGGGCATGGTGGGCTTGAAGTATTGCGAGCGCGAGGCTGGCCCACTGTGGGACGTGAGGCTGACAGGGCGATCATCCTGGCTCGTGAGGTTGTAGGTAAGCAGGGATCTTGTGGGCCGGGAAGGCGGGTGCAGGGTTGTGTCGTGGCGGCCTTGTCTCTGGAGAACCGAAGCGTGCCTACTGAAGCGCACAACGGATATTACAAAGATGAGGGTGCCATGGTGAGTTACGAGAGCGCTTGCATCTCTAACTGTGGTAGGCGAGGGGATTGTAGGTGTTTGTAACTTTGTCTTCATATTGTTTTTAGTCATTCCATTCCCATCTGTGTCGCCGGCTCAAATTTGAAGGTACTTCGTAAACAGTGAATTGAGACTTCGAGACTCGAGACTTTGATGGTAACTTTTCAAATTTCATTCAGGTATCCTCACACTTACGAGGGGTGAACGACAACGTCCAGGCCCGCACGAGACAACTTCCAGGAAAGTTTGCCCAAACTCCAGACTCCCAAACACCTTAAGTTGCTTTACGGTCCGTTAGAAAGCCACAACCATTTCTTTTGATTACTCTTCCATAGCATCGATTTCCGAAACCGTTTCGCTCTCCTTGTTATAATAGCTGGAAGATTCAAAGTTAGCACTGGACGTCATTGTGACTGCATTTCTTGACCTACGCAATGAACTTGATCTTGAACTCAGCCATAGCGACACCGAAAAGCTTCAGCAGCGCCGTCTGGTGGCTGTTCAGCGTCTGACCCTCGGTGCAAATGGTATAAGGCTGGTCCAGCATGACCTTGCCCTTCTCGAGCCTGGTGGGCATGCCCCATTTCCTGACGGTGACCTCCACGGGGTGCGGCAGCGGCACATCGTCCTCAACGGGCAGCTCGCCAGCACGCGAGTATACGATGCCCTCGGGAACAGTGAAAGTCTGGGTGGCTTCGACGCCGGCGCGGGCGAAGTCGGTTTGGGAGTAGCTCTGGAAGTGCTCGATGATCTCGGTGGGCTCGCGGTTGGTACAGAACAGGCCGACGTTGCCTTCGAGGCGCTGGGCGAGCTTGTGGAGGTTGGGGAGGTGCTCCGAGGCGTCGTCGGTGCCGAGGGCCTTGGCCATGACCTTGGTCTTGCCGAAAAATATTCTGCGGAGAGCGCGTCAGAAAAGGCACCATGCGCGCAATCGCCAATGGCGGGCGCATGCAATGGAGACGCACCTGCTGTCAGAGAACTCCTGACGGACCTCCTTCAGGTAGTTGTTGCGCATGTTCTCGACGTCGAAGACGAAAATGTACTGGAAGTTCTCGGCGGCCTCGCGCACATTGTTGAAGAGCTTTTCCGACAGCTCCCTGCCCTTCTTGTCGACCTTGGTGAGGTGAACGACTCTCGCGCGCTTCGATTTGGGCATATTGAGTGATTGGAGGTAAAAGTGTACGGTGTTGTGGCAGCGGAGGGTCGGTTGGCCGAGACGTTGCGGTGGTGTTGAAAATAATTCGGCGGAGGGTCTGATAAGACGATAGCGGCGCAGGTGGAGGAACTTTTCACGATGGCGCGGCGGCAAGCGTCATCTTTAGACGAGCGACGAGCTTAAGCGGTGCGCAGCTACCTAGCTCCACCACGACCACCTCACCTTCCTCTCGACCTCTCCCCAGCATGCTGAAGACGCGCCATGCTGGGGTTTATGGACTACGTGCAGCATGCCTTCTATGAAGCAACCCACTGGAACCATGACAATTCCTACTCCTACCTGACCGCGACAGCCCAAGGTAACCACACCACGCGCATCTGCAGCCCCGCCTGAGAACCTTCGCTGACCTTGCGCGCAGCGCTGCTCGACTTCCAGATTACGCGCGGGCTGCGCCTGAACCTCTCGTCGTTGGCGTCGCCGAATCTCGCGACGTCTTACTCGCTCGGCACCGTTGGGGTCGTCGACGGCTCCTTGTCCTACCTGTACTCGTCTCTGGCGCTGGATGTCAAGTCACGGAGCAGTGATATTGACTTGCACAATGTCGTACGGGGCTACCGGCACCTTAAAGAACTTCGGCGGCCTGACGAGCCCTGGTGGTGGGAGGTATGGCACAGAGGCAAGCGCATTGATCGCAGAGGTGAGTCCTCCACCGCGCGCGGCGACACAGCCGGGCGGCGTTGCTAAAGGGGCGCCCAGCGACTGTGCTCTACGGCCGGATTTTTCTGCCCACAAACTCGCTAGAGGCGCTGTACCTGCGTCGAGTGTCGCCCACGCGTCAAGTGCGGATAGCTGCGGTCAGCGACTCGAACATGAATAATGGCGGCACTATCCTCGGAGTCGTGCAAAACGACTATGGAAAGTATAGCACCGAGTATCTGTACAGCACGGACAGCGCGCTCCTGGGCGTTCGGGGGCTCTACAACTTCGGTCTCGACCCCAGGACGCCTGGTGGCGGTAACGGCGACGACGAGGCAAAATCCGCCAGTGCCGAACGGGTCAGCGGCATGTTCAGTGCGGGCGCGGAACTGTACTACGGCCTTCTCAACAAGAGCGGTGGCATGAGCACTGGCCTGAGGTTTACCACCCTACCCCAGCACACGGGATTTCCCTACACAATGACCCTCACGCTCAACCCCCTGATGGGCAGCCTGTCGTCTACATACGCCGTCAAGGCCGGCCACAACGTCGCGCTGTGCTCGCGGTTCGACTTCAACTTCTATTCGTACGAGAGCGACCTGCAGCTGGGGTGCGAGCTGTGGCAGCGGCGGCGCGACGCCGACGCCGAGTGGGCGGTCAGGATGCTCCGGCCGGGCTGGGCGCAGCGCACCCCGTCCCCAGACGAGGATGTGACGGGCGTGATCAAGGCCCGCGTCGACCAGAAGTGGCGGATTGGAGTGCTGTGGGAGGGCCGGATCAAGGAGCTCCTGTTCACTGTGGGAGCCAGCTTCGACCTGAAACGACGGGAGCAGATCTTTCGCGCCGTTGGCGTTGAGGTACAGTACTCATCCTAGCCGATCGTAGATCCCGTAGGGCCATGCTCGAGCATCGGAGCAAGCACGGCTTTGGGAGGCCGGCCGGATACGATAAGGCGTGGCGCTGGCCGAATGCGGCCAGGCTGACGGGATCCCCTGACCGCGCTGGCGCGGCGGCTGGTGCGTCATCAGACCAGCGCTGGGCAGGCGTGAGGCCACAGGCGCCGAGGCACAGAGGCAGGGCCCAGCGGCATGACGAGAGGTGAAACCGCGGGCAACGGCCTGTGGCAGCGAGTTGGGTTGGGCGTGCGGGCGTGGTGCGTGGTGCCACTGGCTCTGGCGGGCGTCGCACAGCTTCTGTGCGAGGACGCGGCGGCACCCTGTCTGTCGGCCCAGGGCCCACGGCGTGGGCGGCGCGGAAGCGGTGGGCCAAAGGCAGCTTCCGTAGCAGACGGCATCTTCCAACAATGTGAAGCACTGATTGGCCTCCTTTCGTCGCGGGCGGCGGATGAGGCAAACGGCCGGTGTGAGGGTGCCCCAAACGCGCGCTGGATCGAGGCGCGCCCTCTCCGCGCAGACTCCACACGCCAGGGCTGTTCCTGCGTCGCCCGCCGCGGCATCGCGCCAGCGTGGTGTCGCGCTGCATAACTGGGCTCTATTTATACCTCGAATCGGACCAATGGACGCGCGCGCTTCGGCGCCCGTTCCTGACTAGACTCGGCGTGCCTGTCAGACGGCAGCCCGCCAGCCAGTCAGCCTGCGCGGCGGCAGCGCGCAGCAGCGCCCTCCCTGCCTGGGCCGAGCGAGCGGAGCTTTGCCGGCGCGCGCGCGCTCCGGGTGGTGTGCCTGTCCGTGAGCGCGGGACCCGTGGACGGCGACTCAGCGGCGGCGGTGCCGGGCAGCCTGTGCTGCGGCGGGCGAGGAATGCGACGTCAGCCGGCGCCTGGCCGCGGTGGCAGCGGGCGCCGAGTGAGCAGAGCGGCGGGCGGCGTGAGCGTTGGCGGCAGAGGGCGAGCACGATTTTTGGTGCTTCGGGCGAGGTTTGACCCATTGTGGCCGTGACCCTCGGAACCCACGCCGCGCTGACTCGGCAGGCGCAGGCCAACGATTGGTACTTCCTGCAGCCCCCAGCCTGCCGCTAGGCCCCCTTTCTCTGCTCGCACCCTCTGCGCCGCCTCAACCTCATTACACCCGCAATATCGCCCGCTTGGATTTCGCCTGCCTCCGTCATCTTGACTGCCAGTGCGATCTCCACCACGTTCTCTTCTGCCCTTGTTGTTCTTTACAGGCGCCGTCACTCCTTCCGGCCGTCTATTCTGTCTCTTTTGGGTCATCGCCCGTCCTCTCCTTAGCCCCAGCTTCCGCCGTCCCGGTGTTCAGTCCTTAGGCTTCTGCCCAGCGCTCGAGTAGCCGATCAATTAGCATCTTCCTGCTCCAAGTCAGCGAAGCTTTGATACCTACCTATCCGTTTGCTCGCCTGGTCGCACGCTGCACATCCCTACTGCTCGCGGATACCCTCCTTGTACCGATCCCGCGCCGGAAGCTCTCCTGAGCACTTACATTCATTCGGGTCACCACCGCCTTTTCACCCAGGCTTCTCTCATCACGACTATTACGACAAGACATATACCCTCGCAGCCCCGTCGCGCTACTGAGGCCCCATTGACCGAGTCATAACCCTGATCTTCCCAGACTCTGGTGCGCCTGCAATACATCGCGAATGCAGTCGACCGCACCACAGCAATCCACCATGACCACCAACTCGACGCCGTCGCCCTCGGCGTCGGGCTCCGCCGGCCAGCCGCCGAACTCTGCCTCGTCCTCGCGCCGCCCGCCGCGCAAGAGCACCTTGACCCAGCAACAGAAGAACCAGAAGCGCCAGCGCGCCACCCAGGAACAGCTGCTGACCCTGGAGATGGAGTTCA